CCCTTGTCAGAGGTCCACTGGTGATCCCCGATTGATCCTAGGGAAGGGTTACAGGCACGTTGGCCTGGGGGGTTATGGGCGCACTCACCCGCCACACAAACAAGCCCTTTTATCCCAATGGTTAGTGGTTGGGATTCTGACATGGTATCAGAGCGAAGGTCTCGGGTTCGAATCCCGGTGTATGCACTTCGGGCATCCCAGTGCGGGGGGGTGTCAGAGGTCCACTGGTGATCCCCGTTGATCCTAGGGAAGGGTTACAGGCACGTTGGCCTGGGGGGTTATGGGCGCACTCACCCGCCACACAAACAAGCCCTTTTATCCCAATGGTTAGTGGTTGGGATTCTGACAGCCCTTTCCAAAAGCAAATGATTTTGAGAGCATCAACCATAAAATCCATGCGACAAGGCATTTGGATTTTTTTTAAGGCATGCCATTCGAAAAGGGTCTATTTTTTCTCGAACGCAAAATTATCTCATATTACGATAATTGCAAAAATATTTTTGCATTCTCGGAAATTTTTAATTATTTTACAAGTATGCAATTATGCTAGCAAAAATATGATTTATTTGTTAGTATTATTTGTCCGAGCTTAAAAAAGATATGAAATGGCTGTATCTATTTCAAAATTGAATTTTTTTTTGCGGTCGGAAGGTCGATAGAATGATATTTCTACATTTTTACGGACGAGCGCGAAAATAGACTTTAAGGTTTTAAAGCGTTTTTACAACAGACACTTGTTTGTAAAAAACCCGTGTTTCGGAAAGTGTGTCAGAATTTCGAGAATTGTGTCAGAACTTGGTGCATCAAGATTCGTCAATTTAGTCTTGCGCGGGCGGGAAAAACCAGAATCGATATCATTTTGGGCGAGGGTTTCTTCTAGTTATCATTCGTGTGATCGGCTGCTAATGTATAGTTACCAAACGTGTTAAGTGAGTTACCAAACGCGTTAAAATAACATGTAATGGTTACCGTACGCGTTATAGTGCCCCATAAAAGTTACCATGGACATATTTTCCATTTAGTTTTTAGTCAGGTGGGGTGAAATATTTTTTTCAATGTTGCGAATATGTGACACGTGGGTGAATGTGGAGCGGATTCCTCTGTCAGGAAGAATAGGAGCGTGGCCTAGGCTTAGTAGCCTAGGCCACAGTAGGAGGTAGTAGGTTGTGCCCTAGGACTAGGGTTTGTGGTATACGAAGGAGAATTGGAGAAGTGAGAATGGGAATGATGATGTGAACTAGCAAGCAGCAGGATACATATAGGAAACCCTAAGGGGTTGTACTCACTATTGAGCACCCCACTGCAGGCTAGACAAATAACATAATCTGACACACCCCCATAGCCAAAGTGGGGTGTAATCAGCACACGTGAGAAGTCACAGCAATAGTTCACAATTAAGTCACAGGAGGCCAGTGAGGAGGAGGAGGAACTGTGGAGGGAGAGAAGAGAGGAGGCGACGACTGAAGTTGCAGACACACGGGCACCAGGAGCACCAGGTTGCAACCTCCTCCAACTGTCTCACTCCCCCCTACACTCACCCCCAGTGTCACCACTCGCTTCTCGCCCACATCACCCCCTTAGCGCCACTCCCTCGTCTCCCACACATCCACCCCCCCGCAGCGGCAGCTGCAGCAGTGGGAGACGGAGGAGAAGGTAGGGGCGACGCACAAGGAGCACCCCCACACCCGCCACCCCCACACCCTCCTGTCCAGGGGACGCAGGGGGGGGGGGGGGGGGGGGGGGGAGGGCCGGGGCGGGAGAGCGCACGAGGGCGCAGGCAACCGCGCGTGCAGAGCAACAGCGCGGAGCAGGTAGGGTAGAGCGCACGAGGGCGCGGGCAACCGCGCGTGCAGAGCAACAGCGCGGAGCAGGTAGGGTAGAGCGCACGAGGGCGCGGGCAACCGCGCGTGCAGAGCAACAGCGCGGAGCAGGTAGGGTAGAGCGCACGAGGGCGCGGGCAACCGCGCGTGCAGAGCAACAGCGCGGAGCAGGTAGGGTAGAGCGCACGAGGGCGCGGGCAACCGCGCGTGCAGAGCAACAGCGCGGAGCAGGTAGGGTAGGGCGCACGAGGGCGCGAGTGAGACTGAGCGCGACTGCACAGGGTCCAGGAGCGGCGTCGCGGGCAGCTGCATGGTCGGCTGCTGCTGGTGCGGTTGCTCCAGGGGCGACGACTGAGGTTCTAGGGGCGGCTGCACCAGGGGCGGCTGCTCCACGGGCGGCGTCGCGGGTACAGGGGCGGCTGCACCAGGGGCGGCTGCTCCAGGGGCGGCGGCGCAGGTCCAGGGGCGGCTGCACCAGGGGCGGCTGCTCCACGGGCGGCGTCGCGGGTACAGGGGCGGCTGCACCAGGGGCGGCTGCTCCAGGGGCGGCGGCGCAGGTCCAGGGGCGGCTGCACCAGGGGCGGCTGCTCCCTGGGCGACGGCGCAGGTCCAGGGGCGGCTGCACCAGGGGCGGCTGCTCCAGGGGCGGCGTCGCGGGTCCAGGGGCGGCTGCACCAGGGGCGGCGGCTCCAGGGGCGGGGTGGCGAGTCCAGGGGCGGCTGCACCAGGGGTGGCCGCTCCAGGAGCGATGGCGCTGGCGCAGGGGCGGCTCGCGCGCTGTTGCAGGGGCGGCGTCGCGAGCTGCTGCAGGGGCGGTGTCGCGAGCGACGGGCGACGGGGGGAGAGCAGCAGGCGGGCCCCCGGAAGGCGCCGCGACGACCAGTGACGGCGCCCAGGGGGCGTCGCGTCGTGTAGGGGCGACGCCGCGCGGGTCCCGCAGAGGTGTCGCGACGAGCAGGGCGACGCCGCGCGGGTCCCGCAGGGGCGTCGCGACGAGTAGGAGCGGCACCCAGGGGGGGGCGCCGCGACGAGCAGGGGCGGGCCCCCTGAAGGCGCCGCGCCATGCGACGGCAGGGAGCAGCACGCAGGCCCCCCGGAGGGCGCCTCGACGGACGGGATAACCGCCGCGCGCCCCGAGCGCGCGGCGGGTAGAATAAGCCGCCACACGCTCGAAGCGCGTGGCGGGAAGAAAAATCCAGTGCCGCGCACCACGGAGCGCGCGGCGAACAGTAGGGCAGCGGAAGCAGTTGGTGGGCCCGTTGAGCTAGGCAGCAGGATCTTGCCCGCTCTAGATACCATGTCAGGAAGAATAGGAGCGTGGCCTAGGCTTAGTAGCCTAGGCCACAGTAGGAGGTAGTAGGTTGTGCCCTAGGACTAGGGTTTGTGGTATACGAAGGAGAATTGGAGAAGTGAGAATGGGAATGATGATGTGAACTAGCAAGCAGCAGGATACATATAGGAAACCCTAAGGGGTTGTACTCACTATTGAGCACCCCACTGCAGGCTAGACAAATAACATAATCTGACATCCTCAGTTGTCGCAGAAAGGGTGCATTCCTAGCTCGTGTCAGACACGAAGTGGAGGTTTGGATGGAGGTTCGGAAGACTCGAAGTGGCCCACTTCGGGTCTTCCGAACATTGATTTGCCAGAGTTCCAGGTCACTTCGGGTCTTCCTCAACTTTATTTCGTGTCTGACCTCATGTCAGACACGAGCCAAGAATGTACCCTAAGTCTCCTGCCTGACGGGAGAAGGAGCGGAAAGTGTCCTCAAATAGCAGTGAAGCTCTCCTGAAAGCGGAGAGTCCCCACTAAGGCCCTGTTCGATTGAACTTCATTGTTTTGTACAGCCCCACCACAGTGTAGCCGAGTCGGCCTAGGGTTTCCGAACCTAGGGTCACTACCTTCCAAATGCAACTTGATTTGGTTTACAGTTTTGATAGCTGCCCGAACAGCCCAAGTCGCAACAGTCAGAACCGCGTAGTCAATGAATAAAACAAACAGACACAGTGCGCAATTCAATTGATCCTAGCAGCATCAGATACGAGAAATTGTTACACAAAATTCCAAAATAGCACGTGTTGAACTTCGGAGAACTCACTGCTGGGTATTTGAAAGATGAAAATTTCAAATCACAGTGTACCCTCGACGACAAACGCGTTTCAAAAAATAATAATCAACTGCTTTACAGGAAAACTGTACACCGAACGTTTTAGGGTACAGCAGTTTTTACGCGATTTCTGCCCGAAATGTTTACCCCTTCAAAGTGGCATTAGGGAGGCTGTCGTTGGTGCAGCCAGCGGAAACCAAGTATTTTTTTCCCGTGAATTACTGTTGCTTGACCAGCAGGCAACAGTATTTGGACCGCGGTTTGCAGCGAAAATTACCGCACCAGATTCGTAGGTGTGCCGAACGTACTTCAGGTTCTGGTTTGGATCTGCCTAACCTCGCGTGGGGTTTAAAGCCCACGTTTGCAGCTGCCGAGCCTTTACCGAGCCACGCAATACTGTGATAGGACTGTGGTTACCCCTGGACTGTGAAGCTATCGAGCAAGGCCTAATGTTCCCTTCATATCTGAAAACCCAATAAGTTCAGTTGGATTCTTGGTGGTTACTCTCGGTTCAGATGGAAAGCTCGAGAACGTCCGAGCAACACGTGCTGCTATTAAACACGCTCGGAACCGATCCGAGGTCCATCTTGTCGCCATCTTTTCACCAACTGTCGCCATCTTGTCAAATTTCGCCAAAGCCAACACTGTCAGGAACTTCTGACGCACTGTCGCGCAGGGCACTGAAACACTTGTTCTGCGATCATTCCACACGCCTTATCTTCATACTCTGGGGTACTTGCTCTCTGGAAGTTTTATTTCGAAGGTAGTTCGGAACGAGCGTAGAACTATCGGGGATAATGTCACACAATCCCAACGCTAGCTTACGGAAACAAACAAAAATAGCTCTAGAATTTTTCCAGCACTCTCGGTCTAAAAAGAGCGAGTTTCGGGAGCCCAGAACCTGCCGTTTCCATATTGCTAGACCCGTTATGTCAGGGTGTGCGTCGAACCAGACTGACCACCCTAAAAGGGTATCTGGAAAGAAATTTTTTAGGGTGTGAAATTATCGCTGTTTCGGTGTAAAACATTTCTTGCATACGATTAGGTGTACACGTGAAGCTGGAGGACTGAGATGAGCGCGAGTAACGGCGTGTCTGTTAGGAGGCATATGTGGGAGGAATCGGCGAGTGTGGAGAGAGAGGCGGTCTCGGAGGATCGGGAGGGTATAATCAACGGAGGAGGGGATATGGCGAGCGAATCCAGTGGGGGGGATTTGGATTGTGATTTCGACGTGGGAAGCGAGGAGGAGGTGGAGAGGGAGGTGGGGGAGGAGGGTGGGAACGGTGGAGGCGAGAGTGACATTAACGGTGAAGATACGATCGGTCAATGTACGAACGGCCATGATACGGACGATCAAGGTGTCGGTGACGATCATCTAAACGGCGCCGCGATTGGTGGAGCTAGCAGGAAGCGGGGAAGGAGTCCGAGTGAACCTGGTTTTGCGGAGGGAGGGGAATATAAGTCATTGAGAGTTCCTGGTTTCGCGAGGCATGAGAGGGATAGCAGAGCGGGTGATAAGGGGAGAGAAGAGGAGGCGGCGGAGGAGGATGAAGAGGAGGATGACGAGGAGGAGGAGGACGGGGAGGATGACGGATTCAGCGAGGATCTAGAGGAGGATAACGGAAACCGTTTATCGGATGGGAATTTCACGTCAGTTGACGCAAGCGATGACGCTTTTTTTTGCGGAGCCATTGAGGAGGGTGATGACGAGGACGGCGGGTTTGAAACAGCAGTCAATCCTGCATCCTCATTATACGCGGCTTCGTTATACGCGTCCTCGTTGTCCGCGCATCCATTGGCTCGAGCTGAACGCGAACGCACTATCTGCGGCAGCTAACGGGTTAGGGTTCGGTGTTTCAACGAATCCATTGTTGGGCCTTAGAAGGTTTTTGGAAGTTGCGGGTGCGAGAGACGCCGAGGGCCGGATTGCGGCTGATACGTGTAGCGGAGTCGAAGCTGACGTGGCCGTTGAAGGCAGAGCTGACGTGGAGCGAGCTGGAGAAGCCGCAGCGCACGCGCCGAAGGCTGACGTGGCAGCAGCGGAGAGCACGACGAAGGGGTTGCTCCCTGACGAAGTCATTCTCGAGATCATCGCGCGGGTCTCGGACGCGCGCGCACGCAACTGCTGCGCTCTCGTCTTGCGCCGATGGCGCATGAGCGAGCGCCTCACGCTCACATCCCTCTCCGTCCTCCGCTCCCTCGTGGACCTCCTGGAGCTTCCGCGATGCTTCCCCAACGTGCGCCGACTCGACTTCTCGCTCTGTCCCCCCTGCGGGAAACCGCTGCTCCTCGCGGGGCCCGCGCTGGAGGTAGTTACGTCGCTCCGCGCGGCCTTTCCGCGGGTGACCTCCCTTCGCGTGCACGTGCGGGACCGGAACGACGTCCAGTGCGTGGCGGTCACGTGGCTCTGATTCGCTGGCACGAGTTTTCTGCAGCGGAAGCAGCACCAGCCGCAGGCGGAGCAGCAGCAGGAGGGCAAGGAGCAAACAACAACACCAACACCACCGGAAACCCTAATCTGAATGCGAATCCGCTGGGAACCCTAAAGCTGACCCCTTTACTAGTGATGTGCAGCCGAGTACAGAGCGTAGACTTATCCGAGTTCACGTGCTTCCCAGACCACGTCACTGATGCCTTCACTGTTAGAATCTTAGAATCGAACGAGCATGGATGAACTAGCAGGAAGTTTTGGTACAAGTAGGAAACCCTAAGTTTGTGTACCCTCTAAGGCTAAACCCACTATAGCCTACACAATATAAACATACAATATTTGACACACCCCCATAGGCGAAGTGGGAGACAACCAGAGGGTCACAAGACCAGTCAAAGCAAAGCAAGGCAAAACAAGCTCAGGGTGGATCTCAAGGATACCACACAAATTCCGAGCACAAGCAAGTGGTCACAAGACCAGTTCACATGCAGTTTCATAATATAACAAGAGGTACAGTGATCACAACCTAGCAAGAGTAAGCATGCAGGTATATATATATAGATCACAGTACAAACAGAGTCAAGAAGTAAGCAAGTGAGGTCCAGCAGGCACAAGGCCTAGAAGAGTGCAGAAGCGCTGATGGTCACAAGGCTGAAGCGCCTTGGTGAACACATCAGCAGTGTTGGCCTCAGTGGCCACGTAACGAAGACGAAGCTGACCACGCTGCTGCAGCTCTCGAGCAAGGAAGTAGCGCAGAGCAATGTGCTTCGTTCTGTGCTCCAGTCTGTGCTCCTCACACAAGGCAATGGCTGCCTTGTTGTCGACGTACAGCACTGGAGGAGAACGAGGCCGCTCTCCCAAGTCGGTCAGCAGGTAAGTGAGCCAGCGTAGCTCCTGGGCTCCCATGGCTGTGGCGTAGATCTCAGCCTCACAACTGGAACTGAGAACTGAAGAAGAACGTGTAGAACGCCAAGAAACTGAACCAGAGCCAAGGCTGAAGGTGTAACCCTGAGACGACCGCTGAGTGGCCTGGTCGTCTGCCCAAGAAGCGTCTGAGTGTCCAGTGAGTACAACACGGTCTCGCCCTCCAAGCACTAGCCCCATGCCCGACGTACTGCACAAGTAGCGCAACACCCTCTTAGCGGCATCCATGTGCTCCTTCCGGTGACGGCCAGGAGCGACATAGCGTGCAAGGATGCTAAGAGGGTATGCAAGGTCAGGTCGAGTGCAGGTCATCAGGTACATGAGGCAGCCCACAAGCTCTGGATACGGGCCACTCGGCTCTACGGACTCATCCGAAGGCAGAGCTGAGAGCGAGTGACCGGTAGGCAGAGGAGTGGACTGAGGCGAGGAGTACGTGAAGCCGAAGCGCTGAAGGACCTGCTGCACCATGTGTGACTGAGTCAAGGTAATGGTGCGCCGTGCTCTGTCCCGGGTGATCCGCAAGCCAAGATAGCTTGTCAGTTCACCCAGGTCTGTGCACGTGTGTCTCTTCTGCAGCTCCGACTTCACGTGGGCGAGAGCCTGAGTGTCAGCAGTGGCAAAGACCAAGTCGTCGACGTACACGAGGATGTAGAACGGCGGCAGCGAAGTGTCTGTGCGCAGAAACAGCGACAGGTCAGCAGTAGAAGGCGCGAACCCAAGTGCCGCAAGTGTCGTCCTCAGTGTGTCGTGCCACTCACGTGGTGCCTGGCGGAGACCGTAGACCGGCCGCCGGAGACCGTAGTGCCCGGAGGAAAAGTCCCAGTGAAGCCAGGTGGGCGGCGCAGCCAGATCTCCTCGTGCAGGCTACCCTGCAAGAAAGCAGTGCTGAAGTCAAGAGAGTGAAGCTCGTAGTCGCGCTGAGCGGCTATGTGCAGCAGCACCCGAAGAGTGGTCATCTTCGGGGTGGGGGAGAAGGTCTGGAAGAAGTCGACTCCCTCACGCTGACTGAAGCCTCGAGCAACGTAACGCGCCTTGAAGACAGGCGGAGAACCCGGCGGCCGCTTCACCCTGAAAATCCACATGCCACTGACGATGTTCGCCCCTGGTGGGGGAACTGCGTTGACGTAGGTGCCTGTGGACTTCCAGGAAGCCATCTCTGCGTCCATGGCTGTCTGCCACTGAGAGGAGTAGGGACCCGCTATCGCCTCTGCGTAAGAGCGCGGGGTCGGGATGTCTGGTGCATCCGGGTCTCCCTCAGGGGCAACTAGCATGGACACGAGATGAGGCAAAGCAGCAGCAAAGCACTGGAACTCCTCCTGCCTGTCCTCAAGGATGTCCGTGCCAAGAGCACACTCACCCCCGACGGACGGAGGACAGACAGACTCAGACGCAGCAACTAGGCTAGCGGCGTAGTCGAGACGACAAGCGGCAGCAAAGTCAACTAACTCAGCGACGAGAGCAGACGCAGCAGAGGACTCAAAGGTAGGGTCAGTGACAACAGTAGCGAGGAGACGCGTGACAGTAGGACGGGCAGCACGAAGGGAGTCAGACTCCGGGTCAGCAAGAGTAGGAAGAGAGGACGCAGGAGGAGACGGCAGAGGGACACGCTGAGGAGCAGTGGAGGGACGCAGAGTCATGTAGTGCGTGCCAGGGACAGGAGGAGGACGCTCACGCGGGACACGACGACCAGTGCGAGCAGCACGAACAGGCGACGTAGAGCGAGACGCAGGCGACACAGGACGAGACGCAGGCTCACGACGCTCCGTAAGACCTCCTGTGGGACCAGTGTAAGGAGAAGGACCAGGGAGCGGCGAGGCAGGCGGTAACTGTGACGGTGACTGGACAGGCGGAGGACACTCTAAGGAGGACAAGGAGGAGGAGGCTGACCAAGAACCTGCTGAAGGAGCGGAACGAAGTACGGCCGGGGCCGCGCAGCGACTCCAGAACCAGTAGAGACACCACCAGCACCCGCAGCAGCTCCAGCAGCGCCAGCTCCAGGGTCCTCAGCACCAGAAGTAGCCCCAACTCCAGGGTCTGCAGCACCAGCAGCAGCTCCAACGTCAGGGTCCGCAGCACCAGCAGCAGCTCCAACTCCCGGGTCCGCAGCACCAGCAGCGGCTCCAACTCCAGGGTCCGCAGCACCAGCAGGAGCTCCAGCACCAGGGTCCTCAGGACTAGCAGCAGCTCCAACTCCAGGGTCCGCAGCACCAGCAGCAGCTCCAACTCCAGGGTCCGCAGCACCAGCAGCGGCTCCAACTCCAGGGTCCGCAGCACCAGCAGCAGCAGTAGAGCCTCCAGCACCAACAGTAGCACCACCAGTAGCTCCAGCACCAGCAGCGCTAGCAGCAGCAGCCCCTGGAGCCGCCCGCCACTGCAGCAGCAGCCCCTGGAGCCGCCCGCCACTGTAGCAGCCGCCCCTGGAGCCGCCCGCCACTGCAGCAGCCGCCCCTGGAGCAGCCCGCACCTGCAGCAGCCGCCCCTGGAGCAGCCTGCACCTGCAGCAGCCGCCCCTGGAGCAGCCCGCACCTGCAGCAGCCGCCCCAGGCACCTGGAGCAGCTGCCGTCGCGGCCCGGCCTCGCCCTGCAGCAGCTGCCGTCGGGCAGGTGGCGACGCCGCGGGCAGGGCGACGCGGCGGGCAGGCGGCGACGCCGCGGGCAAGGCGACGCAGTGGGCAGGCGGCGACGCCGCGGGCAGGCGACGACGCCGCTGGCAGGGGCTGCGTCGCGGGAAGACGACGACGCCGCGGGCAGGCGACGACGCCGCGGGCAGGCGACGACGCCGTGGGCAGGCGACGACGCCGCGGGCAGGGGCTGCGTCGCGGGCAGGCGACGACGCCGCGGGCAGGGGCTGCGTCGCGGGCAGGCGACGACGACGCCGCGGACAGGGCGACGCGGTGGGCGGCGAGAGCCTGCAGAGGCGGCGCGCGGTCGGGCAGAGGCTGCGCGCGGGCCTGACGAGTCTGCAGGGGCGGCTCTCGGGCGTGACGGGCCTGCAGAGGCGGCTCGGGGGGGGCCTGACGGGTCTGCAGAGGCGGCTCGGGGGCCTGACGGACCTGCAGGGGCGGCTCGAGGGCGCACGAGGGCGCACGAGGGCGTACGAGGGCGTACGAGGGCGCACGAAGGCGCACGAGGGCGCACGAGGGCGCACGAAGGCGCACTAGCAGAGAAAGGCGCACGAGGGCGCACGTAGGGTAGGGCGCACGAGGGCGCTTCTAGCGGAATAGTGGGCCCATTGTAGAAAGCGGTCCTAGGTAGCAACCTAGGCTCTGATACCATGTTAGAATCTTAGAATAGAACGAGCATGGATGAACTAGCAGGAAGTTTTGGTACAAGTAGGAAACCCTAAGTTTGTGTACCCTCTAAGGCTAAACCCACTATAGCCTACACAATATAAACATACAATGTTTGACATTCACTGCTGCTCCCCAGGCCGCCGCTGCCATCGCTGCTGCTGCCGCCGCCGCCACCGCTGCCGCCGTTGCTGCTGCGTCTGCCACTGGAGCAGGAGGTGTGAAAATTAGAACGAGAATGGTTGCATTGAGCAGCATGAGGAGTACAAGTACCAAACCCTAGAATGTTGTACCCCATATAAGCTACCCCACTACAGCCTACACAGACTATAGTGTATAAGTTTGACACACCCCTATAGGCAAAGTGGGGGAGCACAAGGGGTCACAAGACCAGTCAAGCAAAGCAAGGCAAGGCAAGCTCAGGGTGGATCACAACGTCACCACACAGTCTGAGCACAAGTTCAAGGCCAGAAGGCCAGTTCACATGCAAGGGTACATATATATAACGCTAAACAAGCAAGAGCAGGTATATATATGTAACAGTACAAGCAAGGTCAAGAAGTAAGCAAGTGAGGCAAGGTAGGCACAAGACCTAACAGAGTACAGAAGCGCTGATGATCACAAGGCGCGAGTGCCTTGGTGAAGATATCAGCAGTGTTGGCCTCAGAGGCCACGTAAGCAAGGCGCAGCTGACCACGCTGCTGCAGCTCACGAGCAAGGAAGTAGCGGAGAGCGATGTGCTTCGTTCTGTGCTCCAGTCTGTGCT